GTTTTTTAATTTGTGGCTTTGTTCTTCCGCGTCTTCTTTTCACTTTTTTTTTCTTTTTGTTCACTGTTGGAACACAGCTTTTATTTGACTGCACTTCCCTTGGTTGAGACTTGAGAGACCATTTGTATTGCTTGTGCTAATTTAGAAGCTTCTGCTTTTATGTAAAGTATTTTGAGTCAATTATTTCCACCATGGTTAAATCATTGTTCTACGGTTGGATGAAATGTTTTTTGAGATAAAGATAAGCCATATTGAAGGATTAGATCACTTTATTTAATAGTTGAAGTTTGTTGCTTCATATGCATTGCTTGAGCTGCAACTATTTGGACTGTGTTCCATGTGAGTTGAAGAAGAATTGTGCATTGTGAAGAAGAGGAAATACAAAGGGGGAAAATGAGAAGTGATGGTAGGTGATTCTCATTTATATTCACTAGAAAGAGGACAATTCTGTCAGCAAATTCAACAGACAGAAAGTGGCTTCCACGCGTTTTGTTTCACCGTGAAATGTGTGAACGGTTGTTTTCTCAGGGTGCAAAATGCCTATAAACATATTTCGTGGTGTTTTATGCAACTTCCATGAAAGTTCGTGGGTGTTTTCTGCATTTAACCCTTTAATTTATTTTGCCAACATTGCTTGCCTTAAACTAAACTCTTTATTAAGACAGGTCCAACTCCATCTTGAACAACCAACATTATTGAAAATTTTGTAGCCGTAGAGACGGTATGCAATACCTTAAAATTAATTTTCATATTTACTCATGGTAATGGATGACTTATATTTTGCAAATAATTTCTCAGCAATTTCTTCTCAATCAAAATAGTCATTCATGCAAACCCATTTATCACCAGAGTCACCATATTTATCACCAAATATCAGTGCCTAAGAATACAAAATCATAAATTTCTTTCTTGCTAAAATGATCATTACCAAATAATTCAGAAGCCACACTATCATAATTAGGAAAAAAAAATTCACACTATCAATCAACTCTTTAAAAGCAAAATATTTTCAACTTTGATAAAATCCATATCTATTAAATCAAACAACTTTCCATCACCTGGAAGTAGGGGTGGGCAAAAAAATCGAAAACCCAAAAAACCCGACTCGATCCGAACCTAAAAATAGGATATCCGATCCAATTTCTGTCAGCGGATTAGATAGGGTCGGGTACCCTAAATATTCGGATACGGATCGTAAAAATAAAAACCCGCGGGTACCGATCCGGTAGTATAATATATAAATATTAAAAATATAGGGGCAATTGTATAATATTTTAAGTTATTATTAACCCTAGCCTAAATAGTTCAGCCGACAGACACTCCCTCAGCCTCATGCCTCAATTGACTTTCTCCTTCTCCTTCTCCATCTCTTCAACCTTCAGCCGACACTCTGCGACAACTTTCTTCCATAGGATTATTAAAGGATCTTGGGCTAGGTATGTCCCCTGATTTTTGCCTGAATTGACCTGTTCTGATTGAGTTAAAATGTGATCTAAGCTGCCTGTGTTTAGATTCTATGGTTTAGAAAGGCTTAGAGCCTGGTCTGTCTTTTGGGAAACTACAGCCGGATCTGTTTGGCTAGTGACATTCCAGTGATATGTTTGGTAAAAGTCTTAAGGGCATCCCTACGTAGTTTCATGAATAGAGACCTGAAACTAGAGATCTTTGAATTTTATATCCTCCATTGCAAGTATCAGAAAAATAAAGACTTTTCCCTATTAAATTCATCCACAGAGTTGCTCATTCGTCATTCTGTGATTACTGCAATTTTTTGAACGTTACAAGTGGTTATTAGTGTATTCATCTCTTCCACAATAGGGAAGGAAGGATATAAGACATGTAAGGTTCCTGGGTTCCACCTATAAGTGCACTTTTGCCTCTTCTTCAAGATTGGATCAGACACTTTTGAAGCTTGACAGTCTAAATGTTGCTCAATGGGATGCCTCTGGTGACAGAAGTACTAGCACGTACCACTGAGGATTGGCTGGGTTTGTATTAGGATATTAGATCATGAACACTGAGAATAATGAATAGGTATTTTGTTATGATTCTGTATGTATTCACAGAGCAGGACACTTTGTTATTACCAACTTATTGGATCCTCCACCTTCTTTCACCACTCAAACATGATTATTTCACTTGCGAATCTTGAAGCTAGGCTTTTTCAGTGTAGTTCTGCTTTCTTATATGTACACTACTCTGGTAACAAAGGAATTGTACCAGATACAATATAGGCTTGTTGGTACTACTTTTTCTGTCAGTGTTATTACGAAGTGGTTTTTTATTCTGGTTGCAAGGGCACCAGTTCTCCTAATTGTGATGGAAAATCTACTTGAAAGACCTTAGAATAATCCCTGTAGTTCATTAAACTAGCATGCCCATATTTGCTTGAGTTGGCTCTCTGGAAAATTGAAGTGGAACTCTTTCCAAGGAGAAGAAATCAAATTCTCAGCAGATGTTGGAGAAAAGGAATCCGTATAAAATCTTGCATTCTTTAAATAGGGACGGGTACCCTATGACCCGTCCCTATTTTTCGGGTATTCGAGGATTGGGTACCCGAGGACAATTGGAGCGGATTAGGGTCAAAAAAATAGTGACTCGATATCTTAAGGTCGGGTCAGCCATTTGCCGTTCGGGACGGGTACCCGATCCGTGCCCACCCCTACCTGGAAGAAAGCCCGAGCCAACAAATTTTCCAACAATAATTTCTTTTTCTATACTTACCAAATCAAAATTTTCTTCTTCTTTTACTAAATTAATAAATTCTTTTTCTTCAACAAATTGATTACTCCCAATTTCTCTAAACAAGGTATGCAAATCAAAATTCTTAACAGATTCAAAATTTTAAAATTACTCATATCATCAACAAATCTATTATTCTCAAAATCTACAACCTAATACTAACAATCAAATTTCAATTTGAAAGTATATTTCTTCTCAATAGTCTACAAAACTTAATAAATAACCTTCCAAAATCCCCAAGGGATTTTAGTACAATGAATAAAAGTTTTGTAAATACTTTCTGCCATTGTTTTGCGCATCACTTGAAAGAATAATCGTGCCTTCATCTTGAAAACATGTTCTCACTTGCAAAAAATTCAACAAAGAAAATAATTCAAATTATATTGTTCTAGATATTTTTTCACTTTTAAAACTTAACTAAAATATGCATTTCTATTTGTACTTATAAAAGTTAATATAGAAAAATTTTCACTATCAATCAAATTTCTATAAAATTTTATCATTATTTAACAGTTCATATGCCTGTCAAGTTTTTCTTGTCTCTCTTGCTGATTAACTAATCAAATCTTTCAATTGGACAACCCGCAACAATCAACAAATTTGATAGGATTCTTCTCTAATCTCTGTTATAATACTCGTAACAATCTGATAATTGTCAGGCCAATCTTATAGTCAAATTTTTCACCCATTACAAACTTCAGGATAAACTTCGTGGTTTAACTCAATCAACTAAATACTCCCCGACAACTTTATGCCCTAACTCTATGATAGTGGAAATGCAGGACCAACCTCCTTGTAATCTAACTCTGATACCAATTATAGAATCCAAATTTAGGGTTCTAATAATAATTGATACATACAGGGTTATAGAATTGAAGGAATAAAAAATATCATTCAAAATATTTATATGGAAGGGAAGAAATAAATAACTCATAATATTATTGATATCTCAAAATAATGGAAGAAAGTCACACCACAACATAACCTTATAGGTGTTATTAGACTCTTTTAAGAAAATATCACTACTAATCCTTTATTTGTAACTCGCCAGTCTTGTTGGGTAAGAAATCACTTACATCAACACATACTTCTAAATAACACAACTACTAAAAATCTGACTCTAATAAAATTGGTAAATAAATAAGTACTTCTAAATTTGGTTTATTTTACCAACAATATAATTGTATACTTGACAACTTGAAGGAGCAAATCACCAACACCCCGCACAAAAGAGAAAAAGAAAAAAGTCACCACCCCCTTTTAGTATTGCAAACCATAGTAATTGATTTTTTTTTTAAGAAAATAGAGTATATTAACCGTCTTCTTCATCAACTACGAAAAACACTTGTCCCCATAATCTAGTCATGACATTCATGTAGCTACTCTATCATTCTCATTCTATTTTACTCATATTTAAATGTTTCATCTGAAATCATAGCCATATTTCTTATGTTGTGCTAAAATGTCCTTCCACTTTACCACAAATTATATAAAATTCTAGAAATCAAGAATTGCTTACTTTGTGAAACTAACTTTAGTCTCACAACAATCGAAAAATTAACTATTAAACAGTGAACTACTAAATCAATGTGGATTCCACATTTTTAACACGTTAATGTGAATTGAATACTAGTATAGTATGTATAAATTTCAAAGTATGTTCCACTAGATCCTCTAGATTGACTTCATATGTGCACTTAACTCATTAATTCTCACTTCAACAAATATACAAATTCCTTATGCCTGCTGCATTGAAGAAACATACCAATTCACTACAACAAAAATGACCTTTAATGGCATTTAAAGGTGTTAGTATAGATAATCTAATCTGACACTTTACCTTTTCTCACACTTCAGACAAGTGTCGTCCCTTCCAATGTGGGGATAGAATTGTAACTTCAAATGTGTCAGAAAAACTATGCTGTTATAACATCCCATCTGCCAACAAAAATTCTTTTTCTTGATAATTGAAAGTGTCAGGATAGCTATAGTACAACATTAGGATATCGAATTCTATGCTGACACTTTTAATTGTCAGGAGTTTTTTTTTCTTTTTTATTATATAGAAGCAACCTACGGACAGTGCTCCCTGCTATACATTCCGTCAATCAGAAACCCAAAAGACTTGTAAAATTATCCCAAAGAACAGAATGCATATAGTAATCCACAAGCAAAAGTCAATACTCAAATATAATTTGTTGAACTAAAAATCAGTAACAAGTACTAACATAACAAATCCCTAACAAGTACAAACTTGAAAGATTCTCTTGTGGACAAACTAAAAGATCCTCATGTGCACAAACTAAAAGATTATCTTCCCTAACAAGTAGAAAGAACTTGCAATTTTAAGAAAGTGCCTCATGAAAACATAAGGAGTAGGCACTGAAAGATTAAACTGCAAGGTGTTGATCATTAAGCTCTCCTGCAGCGATACTGATGAGAAGGAGGAAAATTGTTGGACTTGCTCCATGCCCAAGAAAGATGTCTCATTGTCATTCAGGCAGAGTTCATATATTCTGCAAGTGGAGAAAAAGAAGATCAGGATAACAAAACCCAAAGTAGAAAGTTTTACATGATGAGTAACAGCAAATCTATAACAGTAGAAAGTTTCACATCATGAAAAGTCACTAGAAACTTTGACCAGTGACATGGAAAGTCATTATATAAAAAGGTTAGAAACAATCTCCAATAGAGCTAGACAATTATTTTCTTCATTTATAATGTGCAAGTAATAGTGAACATGAACTCTCAAAAAATGATGAAATTGCTAAGAGGAAACCATACATGACTAATACACGTGAAGTATTCCCATACAATTTAAGTTCATAACGAGATTACAGGATGTTGTAAACATGTAATACATCAACTTCATAACTCAACTTTAGTACAGCTCCAATTAAATAATATTTGGCAAATTGGCATTCAAACACATTAGCAAGTCTCCCAAAATAGAGGTCCAAAATCTAGACAAGCAGAAAAAATATTGACCTTCATGTATCACATTCCAGAAGCTGAAGACTTTTCAAGCATAATATACTATATAGAGGCATTGTAATTAAACTTTAACAAGGCAACAAGATTGATGAAATATTTAAATCCAAACATACAAGTAGCAGCAAGAGATCGGTAAGCTTTCACCACTTAAAGGACCAAACACATACAAAACAAATACAATATAGCTATTACCTCAGAAATCTGGCTCTGTATGACCTCATTGAATGTGATTGAAATCTTTCCCTCACTTCAACAATCACAGATCTGACCTGAAAATGTCTTGGCCATAAGAAAGCAAAAATAAGAGCTACTAAAACCAGTAAAAGAAAAATCATTCTCAGAAATCGTGAACTGTCTTCCAAAGACAAATTCCGCAATAAGGATAGGTACTAGAGTTTCAAAAACTAAAGGTGAAATGAATAAGGAAGTGAAGGCCATACTGATGTCAGCTTAGAGTATTCTGCGCTAGATAGTGATTCCACTGATGCATTCCCCAATAGATAGAGCTGTCACAGTTACATTATCAGGTAAGTATGTCAAGCAATGCACTATAAGCATCTAATAAGTGTAAAGATTTAGAGATCCAACATATTCTTTTCATTCATCACTCAACTTAAGAACAGGCTGGCACTACACAAGCATCATGAGACCGAAACTAGAGTGGAAGTTAAAAAAGTAATATCAATAAAATATGACTCACACTGCACAAACTCGCGTTTGAATTTATTCCTTAAAAGAGTACCTTAGACACAAAATTAAATTCAAGTATTCATCAAGATTCAACAAAGATTATGCAATTAACATCCGACATAAAGTCTACATACAAGGTCAACGGGTCATGAAAAAACTGGCAGAAGTTTATTATGATTTCCACCAGTTCATCCTATCAATTTTGTAAATCTTAGTCATGAATCTCGTTGTTGAGAAAGTCTTAAACATTGTTGTGACTCACTCTTCTTTTAATAATGTCAAGAACAAATAACTCTTTCAGATCAACGACTATCTAAAACTTAAAACTGAGTTTGGACTTAACATTAGGTGTAAAAAAAATGAAGCCAAAGGGCTGAAGCATTAGAAAGCTTGGAGTGACACAATGCTATGTGAGTATTATAAAGCTTTCTCTGTACTAAAAAGAAAATAAAAGAAAAAAAACATGCAGTGAGAGGAACTCCTAAATATGAAAGTTTTTAAATTCTTTCATGACCTTCTTTCATGACCCCTCAGGACCAAGACCACTCCTATTACCCTTACCATTCTCCTCCTCCTCATCAGTATTGGTATGCCAAATGCTCTTAACGGCTTGGCGAGTCATCTCGATTGTGATTCCAGAGCCTAAAAACCCATCGGAAGCACGATCTTCTGCGATAAGTCCTAGCAAAAGATGTTGGGCATACATCATTTCAACCTCCAAAGCTTTCGCCTCCCTCTGGGAAAACATAACCGCTTTAATTGCTCTCTCAGTAAATTTCTCAAACACCCCAGCTACAATATACAACGATCGGTTTGACTTAGCTTTTCCAGACGAAACAAAAATCATGGTTTTGTCAGAAATCGAAATCCCAAAGTAGGAAGAAGAAGAAGAGGAGGAAGAACAGCTGGTACTGGTACTGGTACTGGTACAACTGCTGGTGATTGTAGAAGGAGGGTAGCTAGGGAAAAGAGAAATAACATTCCGGCAGCGGTGGTGGTGGCGGTTGTGGGGAGAAAGACGGCGGTGAGCTTGAGGAATGGAATGAACTAAAAGCGGAGATGATGAATCCCGTGGCTGATTCTTCCTTATTTTAACTGGTCACAGGAGCCAGAAAGAGCAAAGGGAAAGAAAGTGGAAGAAAGTCTCATTTAGTACCTCAGTGGTCTATTATTTTTCAGGTTTCCTTTACCCATCTGCAATCGTCTTGCGCCATCTAGAAAAAGCTCCGGTCTTAACGCCCCTACTTGGCTGAGAGATAATTTGCCGAGAGTTTAGTTTGCGGAGAGAGTGTTTTTTTGTGAGAGATAGAAGAAGCAAAATTTGACTAAGTGTTTTGGCTGGCAAATTGAAAGTTTTGAATATTTCACAGCAAATGAATCTTTCGCCAATTCACTATGATGTTGTTTTGTGCCTTTTCTTTTTTTTTTTTTGGTATATCTCACATTTTCTCAAGTGTCATGATAGGTAATCTAAAGGCACATTATTATTTTTATATCAGATAAAATAAAAAAAATTAGAGTGTATATTATTGAATTGATAATAAGTGTCATAATAGAAGTGCTATAATGACACAAACCAGCAAGTGGCCTTATAAACATGTCTCGAAAAGTCATTTTTGTTGTAGTGATTCTTTGTACTTTAGACAAGTAATCGAGATGATATATGTAGTATCCCACATTAGTAGAGGAAGAGGAAAGGAAATAGCGTAAGAGATTGGGCCCTTGGCTACCTTCTAATTTGGGTTAACCATTTTGGCCCAGTGGATTTCGATCCAAAAAATTATTTGGGCCAACTCTTGGATCGGGTCATGACAGTTGGTATCAGAACGAATCTCATGTAATCTCTGTGTAGGGTGAAATTAGACCAGCGGGTTATGGTTCCGACTACGCAAAGGACGTGCAAGGAGTTAAGCGTTGTGTGAGACTAAGTGCCATATTCGATGGGGACCACCTCTAGAACTCATATGAACTACCTCTAGAATCCAAACATGACTAAGTTGACAGTTTGGATTTTGATGGGCTTTGCAAGAACGCAAAATCATAAAGGTAGGGAGAATGTAGTATTCCACATCAATAGAGGAAGAGGAAAGGAAATAGTTTAAGAGCTTGAGCCCCTTGACTACCTTGTAATTTGGGTTAACCATTTTGGACCAGCGGATTTCGGTCCAAAAATTTATTTGGACCAGTTTTTGTATCCGAGTCTTGACAATATAATCTAAAACCCTACCTAGTTTCTTAATTCCTCAAACCAGTTTGTTATATTCACTCACTTTAGCAAGACCAGATCTAGTTGTTTAAGGAGGACTTGGAGGGTCGTAAGAGTGGGTGAGGTTGGTATGAGTAGGAAAAGGGGAAAGGACTCCTAGGGTGGTGGTAGGGAAGAAGGGAGAGGAAGGGTTATGGGGGTGAGAAAGAAAGGATGAGAGAGCGGCAAGTAGGTGGTGAGAAGGGATGGAGGTGTGGGAAAGGGAAGGAGGTTTGTTTAAGGAATGAGAAGGAAAGGATGAGAGAGCGGCAAACAGGTGGTGAGAAGGAAGGAGGTTTGTCGAAGGAAGGAAATGGTGATGGTGGTTGGTAGTGGAAAGGGAAAGGGAAGGGGATTGAAGAAGAAGATGTAAGGGAAGGGGAAGTGAAGCTTTTCCTGATTTTTGGTGTATTTTTTGGAGTGTTTTTTAGTGCATTTAAAATGGGACTGCAGATGTATAATGAAAAAACTAGTGGGAAAAGCACACCCAAATTAATAAAAAAATTAAGTTATTTTATTAAAATCAATAGAAGTTATTTTTTTTGTAAAAAAAAAAGTTATGACTTTTTTTTACAAACAAATAAAAGTTATTCAATGTGGAAGTTATTAGAAGTTACTAAATCAACTAGTTATCCTTAGTAAATCTTTACTTTTTATTGGGGTAAAATAAAAAAATAAAAAAATGACACATAATTTTAAAACCTAATCCCCTCCTTATGCTTTACATATAGCAAGACATATATATCCCTACCAAAACAAGCAATCTAACAGTGTAAAACGTCTTCTTATTATTCCAATTCAAATTTTATTTTTGTTCATTAATTTAGCGGTAATTTTCTATGGATGAAAAGTAAAAAGGATTGGTAGAGAATGTTAAAGAGTAATTGGGGGTTAAGCAGGAGATAAGATAGGATAAGCTAAAATCCTAAACCCACGTAACCACCATGTGGTGGGTGGTTATTAGGAATTTAAAACACTTATCAAAACAATTAAAAGAAATAACATCATTCGTAATTCTCATTATCTACCTTTCCTTAGAACGAGAACCATCTATGAATAGAGATGAAGAAGAAAACATCACCATCGAACAAGCAGGCAACTAAGCATCTAAACCTGTAAGTCCCGAATGCGCGTTAAAGCTTTTTCTTTTAAATCTTATTAATTTCATAAATTATTTTAAAGATTTTACGTATATGTATATTACGATATATATATATATATATGCTTGAATGAGAAATTTAGGAAGGTTCAAATCCGGATTAGTAGGAATAGTGTGTTAAATTTTACTAATGGGATGGAATAAAGTCTAAACCCCAATTCTGTTATATATGCTTGTATGAGAAATTTAGGAAGATTCACATTCGGATTAGTAGGAATAGTGTGTTAAATTTTACTTATGGGATGGAATAAAGTCTAAACCCCAATTCTGTTGGAAAGTTTAAAAAAAAAAAGGAGAAGAGATACGCCATTGCTAAAGTTTCAGCAATGCAAGAATGAAAAAAAAAGGAAGAAAAGTTGCGCCGTTGATAAAGCTTGAAGCTTCAGTAATGTAAGAAGAAAAAAAAGAAAGCAAACCCTCCTCTTATACCAAGTCAAACAAAAAAGGGGGGGTTTGGTGCGGGAGAGGAGGAGTAGCTGGTGGCTGCTGCTGCTGCTGTTGTTGTTGTTGATGGGTTAATGAACCAGGTCGTCCCACGGGTCGGATCTAGAGGAAATGATTTAGGTCAAGAGGTGGTTAGGTATGTGTGTGGGTTTGTTAAATTGAATTTGGGTCAAGTGTGAAAGGCCTTGGGCTAAGACTGGAAGAAATAAGGAAATGATGGGCCCTAAGTAACTTGGGCAGTTATTAATCAGGTCCGAAAAAAAAGTGGCAAGTATACTTGGGCCAAAAATATAGTGTGGACTTAGTGAATACTCAATAGATAAATTTATGGTATAACCAACCCATCTTTTATGCACTATCATGGGTATTAAACTTCAAAATCCAACCTAAAATAATCGTGGACTTTAAAGATTTAGTCATTCAGGCTTATTTTAATTAATTAAATCTAAAATATTTAAATAGAAATCTAAAACATTTTAATCTAACATTATTAGATTAATTTATACAATATAAGATAAATCTTAGATTTTAAAACAAATGCTTAAAATAATAATAATATAAATATGGATGAAATAAATTAAGGATATAAACGAAAATAAAATAAAAATATCAATACAAGTGGAATAAGTTAAGATAATAATTGTAATGGTAAATAAATATGCATACGTATATACATGAAAAATAATAATACATACACAGGTGTAAAAATGGAAATAAAACAAAAGATAATAATAACTAATTAACCAATATATATATATATATGAATGAAAATAAAATAAATAGTGTTGGTAAAGACAATAACAATAATAATGAATAAAATAATAAATATATATAATATAATAAAATATTTATATAGTAAAATATTGGTCAAGATAATAAATATGATTATAAAAATTATTTCTAAGTTAGGAAACTTTACATAAGAGAAAAAAGGGGAACTTTCCAATATAGGAAACTTTTCAAAAATAGAAACTTTTCAATTTAGGAAACTTTCCAAAAATAGAAACTTTCCCAATTTAGGAAACTATTCTAGGTTTCATAT